CTTTAAAAACCAGTATTTTAAAGTTCTGAAACTCACAGTGCAGAGGCTTCAAAACTTTCTTCTCCCCTTCTCGGCTCGTCTCGTCTGTTCCTGTCTCACCTGGTTGCTCGGTGACAGCCTATCAGATGACATCACGGCGGCCTCGGCCTATCAGGTTGCAGCAGCCTCGGCCTATCAGGTTGCAGCAGCCTCAGTCTGCTGCACAGGTGACCTTTGGACTGTGTCGTCGTCACGGAAAAGAGTCAGACAGAAACATAAAACACAACTGAACTAACTAAACATATATAAAATATATATATATATATAACAAACTCACTGACTAAACAGATACACATTTAAATAACAGACTAACAGGACTACACTTAATCTGGTTTAGATGAGGAAACACTCTTTTACTATACAGACCCAGAGAAACAGTGAAGAAACCACGTGGGTTAGGGTTGTTAAATCTCAAGACCCTATTTAGTGTTGAGTAGGATAAAAATACAGCTTTATTTAATAAATACTGGATAGATGAAGAGTTGTTTTGTCGTGGCTCTTCTCCCTGATCGCTCCTCCAGTGCAGCAGGTGGCGTTAAAGCACTTTAGCCGTTAAGAGATAGCCGTCATTAAACCAAAAAGAAGACGGAGGGTCAGTCGGACCGGTTTGAGCGCAACACCGGTGCAGCCGTTAGCATCTGAAGCTAAAAGCGAGGAGGAAGATGAGCACCAAACAGGTGACCTGCAGGTGAGTCTGTCACCTGTCTGTCTCTCTGACTGTCTGTCTCTCACCTGTCTGTCTGTCTGTCTCTCATCCTTCGGTCTATCTGTTAGCCTGGAGCTAATGTTTTTAGCCGTTAGCTCGTGTTCTGTCTGAAGGTTGTCATCTGTGATCTGTAGATGTGTGTATTTTCAAACCATTCAAACCGTTAGGTAAAGATAAACTAATTATTGGTTCTCTTCCGATCCTTCGCGATTAAAAAGAACCTCTCCTCTTCAGTTCCTGAATGAGATTTACTCCACAGATTCAATTTAGATTTAGATCAAGTCTCCTTCTGTAATTCAGATATTAGAGCATCTTTCCTGCACTGTAGTTCAAACATGATGGGATGCTTTCCAGTAGTGTCTAACCTAGAATGAGGAAACACCCAGTGATGTGAAAGCCTGCCTTCAATTTGAAAACACAATTAATAATCTGATTGTCTTGGCAAAAATATTTCATCCACACAGGTACACTCACACCGTTACCATTATGTTAAGGTCTCTCCCACCTGTCTGTATCTGTCCTGTCTGTGTGTCTTGTCCTTCTGTCCCACCTGTCTCTCAACTGTCTGTCTCTCACCTGTCCATCTCACCTCTCCGTCTCTCAACTGTCTGTCTCTTACCTTTCTGTCTCTTACCTGTCTGTCTCTTACCTGTCCATCTCACCTCTCCGTCTCTCACCTGTCCGTCTCTCAACTGTCTGTCTCTTACCTGTCTGTCTCTTACCTTTCTGTCTCCTACCTACCTGTCTCTTACCTTTCTGTCTCTTACCTGTCTGTCTCTTACCTGTCCATCTCACCTCTCCTTTCTCAACTGTCTGTCTCTCAACTGTCTGTCTCTTACCTGTCTGTCTCTTACCTTTCTGTCTCCTACCTACCTGTCTCTTACCTTTCTGTCTCTTACCTGTCTGTCTCTTACCTGTCCATCTCACCTCTCCTTTCTCAACTGTCTGTCTCTCAACTGTCTGTCTCTCAACTGTCTGTCTCTTACCTGTCCATCTCACCTCTCCGTCTCTCACCTCTCCGTCTCTCAACTGTCTGTCTCTTACCTGTCTGTCTCTCAACTGTCTGTCTCTTACCTCTCCGTCTCTCAACTGTCTGTCTCTTACCTGTCTGTCTCTCACCTCTCCGTCTCTCAATTGTCTGTCTCTTACCTGTCTGTCTCTTACCTGTCTGTCTCTCGACTGTCCGTCTCACCTCTCCGTCTCTCGACTGTCTGTCTCTTACCTGTCCATCTCACCTCTCCGTCTCTTACCTGTCTGTCTCTTACCTGTCTGTCTCTTACCTGTCCGTCTCACCTCTCCGTCTCTCGACTGTCCGTCTCTTAGCTGTCCGTCTCACCTCTCCGTCTCTCGACTGTCCATCTCACCTCTCCTTTCTCAACTGTCTGTCTCTCACCTCTCCGTCTCTCGACTGTCTGTCTCTTACCTGTCCATCTCACCTCTTCGTCTCTCAACTGTCTGTCTCTTACCTTTCTGTCTCTCAACTGTCTGTCTCTTACCGGTCCGTCTCACCTCTCCGTCTCTCGACTGTCTGTCTCTTACCGGTCCGTCTCACCTCTCCGTCTCTCGACTGTCCATCTCACCTCTCCGTCTCTCAACTGTCTGTCTCTTACCTTTCTGTCTCTCAACTGTCTGTCTCTTACCGGTCCGTCTCACCTCTCCGTCTCTCGACTGTCTGTCTCTTACCGGTCCGTCTCACCTCTCCGTCTCTCGACTGTCCATCTCACCTCTCCGTCTCTCAACTGTCTGTCTCTTACCTTTCTGTCTCTCAACTGTCTGTCTCTTACCGGTCCGTCTCACCTCTCCGTCTCTCGACTGTCTGTCTCTTACCTGTCTGTCTCTTACCGGTCCATCTCACCTCTCCGTCTCTTACCTGTCCGTCTCACCTCTCCGTCTCTCGACTGTCTGTCTCTTACCTGTCTGTCTCTTACCGGTCCATCTCACCTCTCCGTCTCTTACCTGTCCGTCTCACCTCTCCGTCTCTCGACTGTCCATCTCACCTCTCCGTCTCTCGACTGTCTGTCTCTTACCTGTCTGTCTCTTACCGGTCCATCTCACCTCTCCGTCTCTTACCTGTCCGTCTCACCTCTCCGTCTCTCGACTGTCTGTCTCTTACCTGTCCGTCTCACCTCTCCGTCTCTCGACTGTCCATCTCACCTCTCCGTCTCTCGACTGTCTGTCTCTTACCTGTCCGTCTCTCGACTGTCTGTCTCTTACCTGTCTGTCTCTTACCTGTCTGTCTCTCGACTGTCTGTCTCTTACCTGTCTGTCTCTTACCTGTCTGTCTCTTACCTGTCCATCTCACCTCTCCGTCTCTCAACTGTCTGTCTCTTACCTGTCCGTCTCTTACCTGTCTGTCTCTTACCTGTCTGTCTCTTACCTGTCCGTCTCACCTCTCCGTCTCTCAACTGTCTGTCTCTTACCTGTCCGTCTCTCGACTGTCTGTCTCTTACCTCTCCGTCTCACCTCTCCGTCTCTCGACTGTCTGTCTCTCACCTGTCCGTCTCTTACCTGTCTGTCTCTTACCTGTCTGTCTCTCAACTGTCTGTCTCTTACCTGTCTGTCTCTTACCTTTCTGTCTCCTACCTACCTGTCTCTTACCTTTCTGTCTCTTACCTGTCCATCTCACCTCTCCTTTCTCAACTGTCTGTCTCTCAACTGTCTGTCTCTCAACTGTCTGTCTCTTACCTGTCCATCTCACCTCTCCGTCTCTCACCTCTCCGTCTCTCAACTGTCTGTCTCTTACCTGTCTGTCTCTTACCTGTCTGTCTCTTACCTGTCTGTCTCTTACCTGTCTGTCTCTCACCTCTCCGTCTCTCAACTGTCTGTCTCTTACCTGTCCGTCTCTCGACTGTCTGTCTCTTACCTCTCCGTCTCACCTCTCCGTCTCTCGACTGTCTGTCTCTTACCTGTCTGTCTCTTACCTGTCTGTCTCTTACCGGTCTGTCTCTCAACTGTCTGTCTCTTACCTGTCCGTCTCTTACCTGTCTGTCTCTTACCTGTCCATCTCACCTCTCCGTCTCTCAACTGTCTGTCTCTTACCTGTCTGTGTCTTACCTGTCTGTCTCTTACCTGTCTGTCTCTTACCTGTCTGTCTCTTACCTGTCCGTCTCTTACCTGTCTGTCTCTTACCTGTCTGTCTCTTACCTGTCCGTCTCTTACCTGTCTGTCTCTTACCTGTCTGTCTCTTACCTGTCCGTCTCACCTCTCCGTCTCTCAACTGTCTGTCTCTTACCTGTCCGTCTCTTACCTGTCTGTCTCTTACCTGTCTGTCTCTTACCTGTCCGTCTCACCTCTCCGTCTCTCGACTGTCTGTCTCTTACCTGTCTGTCTCTTACCTGTCTGTCTCTTACCTGTCTGTCTCACCTCTCCTTTCTCAAAATGTCCCCAGAATGTATTGCTTTTCTTAATGACAAGTGAAAAAAGCCCAACAATTGTCCACATGTCTCCACACCTTATCTCCTGAGGGACACCTTGTGTTTTATCGTCTGTTTTCTGCACATCATGCTCTCAGTTTTGAATGAATCAGAATCATAAATCCTTTATTCGGGGACATTTAAACAACAGCAGATAAAGTGAGGAGAAATAATCAAAGAAATGGCTAAGTATGCCCCGATGATAACACAATGAGTAAAGAACAAAATAGACGTGTATTACCATGTACACCATGGTACTACACGTGAACCTGCAGGAGGGTCTACTGCATACAGTGGTGTATTTACAGACCGTGTTATTGCACATCAGGGGTCTACCATCAGGTTGTCTCTGAAGGAGCTTACTTAAAATAATAACGTAGAAATATCACTATGAATATTTTAGCAATCTTCCAGGACTGTATTCTTTTAAGAGACGGAGAAAACGATTTGAATTTGAAAGGAAGTAGCAGCCTGTCTGACTTTGAGTCTCCTCGGGATTCAGGACCTCCTTCTCCTTTGTGTGTTTCATGACAGACTGAATGTTGAATGTTTTTTAGTTATAAACCCGGTAATCAGAGCTTCTGATGTCACTTCCTGTGTTGTGTTCAGGTACTTCCTGCACGGTGTGTGCAGAGAGGGAAGCCGCTGCCTCTTCTCTCACGACCCGAACACCAGCAAACCCTCCACCATCTGCAAGTTCTACCAGAGGGGGGTCTGCGCGTACGGGGAGCGATGCAGGTAACATTCATCCATCCATCCTTTCATTCATCCATTCATCCATCCATCAGGCATCCATCCAGATCCATTCATCCAGCCAAGCCAGCCAGGCAGCCAGCCAGCCC